TCTGATGACAGGAAACGCTTCAGTAGAATACTTTTGACTCAAGTGCAGTTGCTCTTTTAAATTAAAAGTATCATGCTGAAGCAATTTCATTTCTTATTAATTTAATTTGTTGTTTACAGAAAACAATATTGGTGAACATTTGTCGCTGCCTGGGATTGGCCCACAGCTTCTTTGTGTGGTCAGCTTGGTGTACGCTAACAGATTGTTGACTACACAGCTAACAAGCCTACAAAGCATATTTTAAAAGATCCCAAAGCTCACTGGAGATGCTCAGTGTCCAGATGATCTGCTCCTACAAACTGGCTTTTCGTCTGTGCTAAAGTTTGTTTGAAATATCATAAAGCTCTTGCTGCCATGGCTTGACGAGTCCAGCGAGATGATTGGTTGTCTGAACAGGAGACGTGTCCTCCTGCGAAGCCTCCTTCAGAGCAAGGAAACTCTTTTCTGTCCTCTTGTCCTTCATCAGCTGGGAAAGATAGCTGTCCCTGGATTTCTCTCGCTGTGCTGTGAAGGAAGATCTTCCTGGTCTTCTCTCTCTGTTCCTCTGTATGAGAAGCTGGAATCTTTCCAGTGTCTTCCTAACCTCCACTTCCTGTTTTCCAAAAGCGTGAATAGATTGCATATAAAATACAACAGAATAGTTAAAGTGCATGATCTGGTGTGGACTGAGAGCTTTCTTCTATTCATTCCAAACAAAGCTGGATGTCATCACTGGGCGGAAAAGAGCTTCATGACCGAGTGTAAAGACTTAACAGTTACTACCAAGCTCAACTAATGAGGTACATATAATATACATATTGTTGGAGCTATATATTGCTTTATGTTGTTCTTGCTGTTATTGTTTATTGTTAATGTATATTTATTTAGTCTAACTATTAAATTAGCAATTAAAATATTTCTTTATGCTTTTATTTTGAAGGCAGTTCTAGGCCCTGGGTGATTGGGCACCTGCTGATCAGTATATATTGGAGGCTGGTGGTGGGATCAGTAGGCACATTTTCTTTTACCAGGGTTAGCACAAGGAGGCTTCAGGAAAAGCACAGGGCAAGATATAGGAACACTGTTGTACTTTTGATGATATTGGATCAATGAAATGCACAGAAACGACGTTCTTGCCTGGACTTTGATCATTCCCTGCTTCTGATTCGCCAGCTGGTGCCTTAGCGGCAGTTTCCGTTTTGAGGTCATTTTCTCTTTTATTTCTTACATGTACAAATGTACGCTAAGTAGGCTGAGGAAGATTGTAAGTCTATTTAAGACACTAACCAGTTGCAGTTTGGGAAATGTAGGATCCAGTGTTTCTGGAACTTGATTCACACTAAATGTGGACAAAAAACAAGGGTTGGCTAAGCTACAAAGTTGGTGATATTATACTATATATATATATATATATATAGAATATATTATATAGTTATATATATTTATTAAAATGATATATATAAAAGGAACATACGGAAGGAAAAATTCAGTCCCATTCATATAAGTACCTTAATAAGAAAAATGAATGATAAAATTATTTAAGAAATTGAGTGAGATGTGAGAGCATGTGTAAATAGGGTCAGGATCTGATGCCCTTACTGTGGCAGGCAGAGACACACTGTCCTCAAGATGCGCTTTCTTTATTTTGAGTTTTAATTTTCTTTTAAAATTTGAGGATTCTTACTATACATTTGGGGTAGGATTGTTTCGTATGGCTTACCGGTTTAAATTTATGGCAGGTGTTTTTTTTACCTCTCGTGTTTCATGCATGGCCAGTCTGTGATGCATTCAGTCTGTACTTTCCAAAACATCAGTCGCTGGGTCAGGATTGCCACCGTGTCTTTTTAGGGCAGATAGCATTGCATTTAAATTTGGTTACATAATGTTCCTGATCAATAATATGGACAGGGGCACATGAGATTTTAAAGCTGTGCTCGGGATCTTGAGAAAACCATCACATGGATAACTTAGATACCTGAGTATTACTTAAAAAACACCATGATCTTAGGCCAGGTTTCAGAGTGACAGTCACAAGGCAAGATTCATGTGAGAAGGCCGCTGTCCAGAAATCTATAAACTCCCACACTGAGAGGGAAGATGGATCTCAGGAGCAGAGTCTTGATTTAACACCTCAGACCGCTGTCACAACCTCCATCTGCTNGAACACACACACACACACACACACACACACACACCTCTAATCTCTTCACTGTACACTGGGTATTTGAGAGGATCAGTAGTGTGTGAATGCATATTTCTGCAGAGACATTATTTCTTCCCTCAATTCCTCCTGGCAGAGATCTGAGTGTTTGACCTTTTTAAAATGCAAAGCGATTCTTCTACTCCAGAGAGTGAACGGGAGGCTCATGATTGTGCTACTAAATTTGAGAGACTTAATGCAGTAACTCACAGAAAAGGAGAGCTGTTCTGCAACTGCTGGAGTCTTGACTTGGTTACGGGGATACAATAACACCTCCAAGGGTTATGTTAATCTTTAAAGAGGGGTTATTCTTATGCCGCTCCACTCTTTATCTCATTTGATGGAATATTTCACTGCAACCTTGAATCAGTGTCCCATGCTTAAATCACCTTGTTGCATTGGATTTCCTTATGAGTATAGCACTTTTTTGCTTTAAGTCTTTAAAATCAAACAAACTGTAAAGATGTATTCATTCGGTCCAATCATTTATCAATGTTTTAACTACCAAATAATATTTTTAATGTAATTTTAAATAACCTTGTCAATGTGGAAAACCTGACTATCTCTGCAGTGGCTTCCCTTGGGATTTTAGATAAACATCTCACATCTTTTCACACGTTTCCTTCTTGTTGCAAAAGGGAAGTGCAGCTAATTTAACATCAACACCACCACCCGAACACTTGTGATTACCAGCAGACTAAAGTGGAGATCATGTTAAATTGAGAATTTAACAACTTTTGACACCCACTACATGCGGTACATTGTAATGGGAATCTCACAGGAGTTACATTTACAATTGATAATGATGTCAAATCGTTAAGTGTGCCATTGTACTGCACGTACCTCCTCCACTAAGTGTGTATAGAGTGAAGCAGCAGACTATCGTTTAACATTGCTGTTAAGATGACATTATATCATTATTCAAACAAAGCCACACAGTACCAGTTTGTCCGCACTAACATGTAATTATATTCCAACACAAAAAGGCCTCTGACAGAGCCTTTTAGAAAACAGGGATGCCTCCATTGGCTCATATATATGTATCTTACAAAATGCAAATTAAGAAGATATACCCCTTTGACTGGAGAAAAAGTGTGAAAACAGTTAATTAGACTTGTTGTGAGGTCTATGGATGTCTTTGTTTTCTCCCTTAGGAGAAGAACTGTGAATATGTATGCGAGATGCTGACTATATAAACTGTAAATAGGGTTTGTAATCGAGCTCAGAGCAGGAGGTTCTATAGCCATGAAAACAGCAGCAGTCTCTATACTGCAAGCACAGAAAATATCTACAGAAGGAAACAGAATTCAAGCTTGTCTCCCACAATTAGAAGACCCTTTCAAATGTAATTAACTTCATTTGTTGATACATTTTTCATCCACCTCTTTTTAGTAAAGTGTGAGAGACAGTGTAAAGAAGCAGAATCTGTGGGGCGTGTGGTCCAGCTCCTGATCTGCAAATTGGAATAGATTTATCTATTTAACTTAATAAGATTACAATGATGCTGAGGTTATGAAAGAGCACACTAGATGAAACTAAGAGGTGGAGCTTCTTATAGTGATGAAATACTTGGTAATATTTAAGAAATGTGGCAAGCCAAAGGGAACGACTGTTTAAGCTAAGAAGTGTGTTTCAGAGTGGAGGATAAAGGGGCCCTTCTTGTTGCCTTAAGGTTGCCACTGCATTGTTCGTGCAAGAATAAAACAAAAGATCAGGAATCCATAATACTGATTCTGCCTTAAAAAGCTTGAACAAATAGCTAATTTCACATTAACATACGACATAATTGAAACCAATGTTTAATTGTCATTCTTATTAAACACAAGTGTGCTGCTAAATCATTGCTACAACAGCAATGCTTACAAACGGACACAGTCTTGAATACAATTTTCCAAATGTACTTAACTATTCATGATCATTTCATCCATCCTTTCATAGACTATATTTTCTTTCTTGCGGGTTAGGTATTTGAACTGACTGCTGCTTGTAGGTCTTTGTATACAACCAGCCTAATGTAATTATACTCACCACCTACACACAAATTACCATGCAAACTGTGTCGGAGGTTTAAAAATTACATGGAGGAATGTGATTTAGTACAAGAAGAGGTCTGATCTTTGAAGCAGTATTTCTGCTGCGCTGCCACAATGTCAGGTCAGCAGACCTCACTGCTTCAACATTGGAAGCAGGACTACAGCTAACAAGCTCCAAAGTACTCCATTTAAACACACATGTGTACAGTGCAAAGACACACAAACACACACCCACTGAGCTTCGTAACTGGGGAGCTCTTATCTCCACTGAACAAACTCTTCGAGTGATGGGAATGTTCTCAGGATGTTATCTTGTCCTCTGTGGAAATGAGATAGCCAGCCACCTTTATCACCACCCTCAGACTCTGGAGGGCCCCTGACCATTACTGGGACAAGGAGCACTAGGCTGCCAGGGGACAGAAACCAACTGAAAAAAAGAGACTGCCAGGAAATTAGAAGTACGGCAAGTGGAATGACTGACAGCAGATTGGAAGGGGTTTCACGCTTAGATAGTCTTAACCCAAGTCAAAGCTACTGTATGTCTTAAGGGCCTTTTTGGACAGATGTTATTTGCAGATGATGCTGAACAAGATGAGACATAAGAGAAAGAGTCATACTGTGAGCCTTGACACCTTATTAAAAATAATGTAAAATAAATGAGAGAGAACAAATTATCAAAAGAATCGGGGAAGCTAGACATTAATTATAATTGGCACAAGAATAAACAGAAAAATATATATCAGTGAAATATGAGAATTAATTGAAACATCTCCATGGCAACTCCCTTTTCAAGTCACATCTTTAATGAATGTGTAATGGACAAAATGCACAACGCACAACTTCATATTAACGTCAGAACAGATGCCAAAAAGAAGTCAATTTTGTTGGAGAAAAAGTGATTTTGCAGTGCGCACAACAGAGTATGTCAAAACAGAACAGGAGCCTTTTTTTGACACACATACACACAAACGTACGTATGTGTTCCCTGTGTTGCTGTCATTTTGACTGTCTGGCAAATCCACCTCTTGTTTTCAAAGCATTTTTTTCTCTAACAGGTGCAAAACCTCTCAACTCAACACATCAAAGAGACACATGCACCTGTGAATAAATCACAGTGAATGGTAAGAATCCAGACTAGGGCATCCTAACACCAAAGAGGTAGGATTCAAAGTGTCTGATTTAATATTCATGAAGTGCAGGGCTTTGGTGGTTGAATGCTTGTTTACTGAGATGTGTCTTTTGTCCTTGGGAGAAGGTTTGATATTCCACCGAGCAGCTGTATTTACATATACTTGCTGTTTATTCTTTACATGATACGAAGACACACATCTCGCCTGACATGCCACATACGTTACACAATACCACATACCGGCTAATGATTGACACGCAATTTCAGTGTGCTCTGCTCTCCTCTCCCCTGTGAAGTATTAAAAGCTTTACTGCTGTTCTAACAGAGCTAATGAGAGTTTCTGATTGTGAAGTGTTGGTGGCTTCCGTGCGGAGGAGTTGTTCAAGTTGAGGCAGGTCCAAAGCAAAGTGAAGTCTGCAAACTGCACCCACAGGGACAGAGGTGGCAGACAACCAGTCAAAACCAGAAACAACCAACTGTCAAGCACTAAAGCAGAAATGTTTTTCATTAATTAACATTTCTTTCACTCCCCAAGACCACTGTGCCTTTTTTTTAAAGATAAATGTAGGTTTGATTTGACCAACAGAAACACTTAACAGATTTCTGTTTCAGTAACATAACAAATATAGGGTTAACATAGAGCCAGTAACCCTTTTTCTTCATCTTTGTATCCCTTTTTTCTGTTTTATCAAAGGTGGTTATTACAAACCCATGCCCTGCAGCCTAGTGTCAGTTATGCACCTGCATCAAGGACTCTGTTTTTGGGCAGCAACGTGTGAAAATAATCTCGAAGTGAAATCAGAAGGGGCAGCAGTTTCCAGATGGATGACTCACAGCTTTCTTCTCTCGCTATATACTAACTGTGGGATGTAATGTCACCTTTTCTAAGTGAAACAAACTCCTACAAGGTCGGGGATGTATATGGAACAACTAATTACTAGAGCTGAAAGAAAGCATGTGAGGAAAAACCCATCTCCCCGGCATGGGTATTAAAGAAAGAAAGCAGCTGGTCAGAATGTACTCTGGAGAAAACATCAGCAATTGGAGAAAGTGGTCGGGGACACTCTTCACTTTAAGTGCTTTTCTCTGAGCAGTCTGTTATTCTCCCACGCTTTCTGATCTCTTGCAGTAGCGGCACACACACATATCCATCTTTTTCATCCCCAAGGGTGAAACAAAGCCATGCATTACGACTCAAACGAAGCTGCTCAATTTATTAAAAATGCAATAATTCAATGTCTTTATGTTGATATGCCTTAAAATAAGAATAGCTCGAATTATTTTGTACCCACCATATACTCCAAATCATGCACATTACACTGGGTCTTTGGTGGTTACATTTCTCACAGTTTGGCTGTTAAACAAATCGACATCAGAGAAGTCATGCAGACCTGCTGCCATCTGCTGGTCAAACTGTGAACTACCAGCACTCTTCACAGGGCTATAGTATAGGCTACTGTAATTCAGATTATAGTACTCTGAAATCAAGACTATGACATACCATGTGTATTAAAATATTAGCAAGAATATCAAGTTGCACTGAGGATGCATTGTTATAACATCAAGTGTTCTTCTATTTGCTCTGTCTGCAATACAGCCCACTATACTCTAAAGCTCCCAAAACAAGAGAAAATGCTATCTGATGCTTCTGATTCAGTTCTTTATTTGACAGCTGGACCCTCTTGAAAGTCCCCCTCACCCTCTCTATGATCTAGTGTCCTACACGTTGGGGCCTGGATGGTGTTGAGCAGTTAGCTGCCAGCACTTGCAGGGTCTCTGAGACATTCAAGTCGTGTCGTCCAAACCACATGACATCCTCCAGAGCTGCCTCTGCAGCTTTCTGCTTGTGGTTGTGGGGGAACCGCCTGGTGCTGGTGGGAACATTAACAGCCTGCTTCACCGTGAAGTCAGTGTGTTGGACCGACATGTTCCCCTCGGTTTCTTCAGAGCTGCTGTAAGCTCCGTCGTGGGACAGGCAGAAATGGGAGTGTTGCTGTCTGGGATCATTAAGACTCTTCCTGAGTCCTACGCCCTGAGGGATATCAACATGATACAGAAAAGAGGTGTCCTTTTAAAAGGTGGGGACGTGGGGACGGATGTGAACATTTTATAATGGCTGGAATCTGTCTTTGTACTTACATTACTGAAGACAGAGATGTTGTCTTTTAAGGCATTCTTGTTGTCATGGCCGGAGAAAGGATACTCTCTGGATTTCTATAAAGAAACTCAAATTGGAGAAATGGTAGGTTAAATACAAGTGAAGACACATGTCTAAAGGGATAAAACGAGGAGGCAGATTTGCTTTGATAAGAAGTGCAATGTTATTTTATCTTTCAAAGCCCTGGTCCATATACGCTGTGAAAAAACACTATACTATCCTTTGTGTAAACACACCTGCTGAGATTTCCATTTAGGAAAGCGCTCCAAGTTCAAAGCCTCAGGCAGTGCTGATTTAACCTGAGTCAGCATGATCCCAGTGCTCGTACAAGCCTCACGACTCCTTTTCTCTTTTTCTGGTATAACTTCATGAGCAAACTGAGAATAAAATGGAAAGATAAGCTTGTTACAAAACAAAAGCAATACAATGTTATTATTTGTAATGATCTGATTATACGTTGAAATTAAGGATTTCTTACCCATTTGCCACCATTACTCATTGAAGAACATCGCGTTGCACCTTTCTCCATTTTAATAGTTAGAGAGTTCACTGAGTAGTTTCAACAATACAGCACTATCCCTGTCCAACTTAACTAGTGCAAACACACTGGTGACTATGGAAACGAGCTGGTGCATGCACAACAACACAAAATGTGATCTCAATTTGCCATGGAGACGTGGAACTGGAATTCTGTCAGTAAAGGAAGGACCAATAGAGGCCGTTTTGTTTCATATTAAATTATAGCAAATTAAGTCATTATATGAAAAATGTGGGATTTTCCTTATTTTTTTTTGGAAATGCGGAAAATTACCAAATGTGTTGTTAATGAGCTCTGCAGTTAAGCAACTGAGGACACATTTGAAGCCAAAATGGCATCTTTTATTTTTTAAATGACAAGGATAACACAATTGTTTCTATTTAAAAATGACCAAGCGAACAAAATTAGCATATACGTGACTTTATTTGTTACAACTCTGGATTTACAAAAACAACAATTAGAATATAATATAAAATAACGTTTATTCTGGGATTTTTTTTATAAGAAATGTTAATTTCTCAAAGTAATTTTTTAAATGTGTAAAAAACAAATGTACAATCCCAGATTATTCAATTTCTTTCAAATACACTTTTGGACATAGGAAATTAAAATGATTTTGTTTGAAATTAACATTATGTAAAAGTTAAAATAGGCCCACAGTGACTGACACTAAGCCCCGACTGTAGAACACCAGACCTTGATTTGAATGATGAGAACTAAACTAGCATAGTTTCAGTGTGGTTTATCACCTGAGATGGTACAACAGGGATTTTTAAAATCCTTTAGTGAAGAGTCTCAATGAGGTAAAATTCTACATCTGATACATTGGGAAAGAGGGATTGTAGAACAAGGAAACAATGTAAAACTAGACAATTAAGCAAGTTTTAATCCAACAATATATTTACAGAATATGGTGGACTTCTAAATATATTTCAGTCAAATAAAACAGGAGTTATTCTTTTTGGCATTACATAATAGGACAATTATCTTTCAACTGCAAGCAAATGTAGAATAGGGAAATTCACATTGAGGTAATCGTGCTGATAACTGTCATTTCCAGGATACAGAGGGAATATTCAACTAGGGTCACAGTTTAGACATGGTTGTGTTCTGAGTGTCCCCGGTATGTATTATTAATCCCTGAGGACAAGATGAAAAACAGGTTGAATTACCTGAGGATACAATCTAGGGTCAGAAAATTGTCAAGTTCTTCAAAGTAAGGTAGGCACCAATATCGATACCGAATCTTATATTTATTTATAGGCCTAAAAGGAATAACATATAAGTATATCTAGTCTTAACATACTGCAATAAGCATGTACTCTCTCCAAGTTAGTACAATTCCAGAGAAAGTAGCAGGAATGTGACAAAAATGAGTCCTAACATCAAAATGTAGCAACAGGCCAGTTATCAACAATCATGTTTAAGCACACATACACATCAAAATGGCTGCCTCCTCAGGTAACATAGTCTGGTCCAGTACTTTCATAAAGATTATGATACATTCAAGGTAAGGGATGCACACATGCTAGCCTGTCTCCTACAATATAATGTTGGGAATTGCATATTCAGTTTTGAGGGAAACATATCAACAATTTTCTGTGTGCAAAACCTTCATTTGTTTGACCCATTCACCAGGACCTTGTCTTCTGCAGACTATGTATAATGACTCAAAAACAAACAATCCTAGAGATGTGTTTCCAGCTAAAAGTCATTGACAGATATGGGGATATCATTTTCAGGAGAACAAGCAGCTATACTGTATGTGGATATGGGGCACTGAAAGGTCACTCGAGTGATTGGCTTCTGGTAATATTCTCTAAAAGCCCACTGAGTTATTTGATGAGACTAAATGAGCCCTCATCGGTGCCATTATAGCTTTGTTGATTACGATAACATTGTCTTGACCCCATCAACTAGACATCCATAATTAGGAAGGTCATTGGGATGCTCTTGATGAAAGCGTTCTTTAATTAAGAGGCAGCCATTTGTTTGCACCTGCTGCATTATGCATTTTTATTTTGAAGAGATCGTTGATTCTTACTCTGAATCACTGATGTAGGCATTTCTGCTTCACCACACCAAGAGCTTGTCAGAGTGGGAACAAACTCTTTTGTCCTTGCATTATGGAGGTCCTTCTTCAGCTGTTTGGCAAAACGTTGCCACCTAATAAAAAGCAGTAATCAGTAACAACTTAGAATCTCCAAAACTGTAGTCATATTATATTTGAAAGTGTGTAAATTCCTACACTCTTTTACCTTTCCTGTGCAGCGTTGTACTTATTCAACCTGTCTGCCTCCTCCCTCTTCTCCTCCATCCAGCGCCGTAAGAGTTCTTCTTTCTCTCTGCAGGCCTGTTCCAAAGCCTGATTTATTCCTTTCTGCTCCGTCCGCAGGGCTGCCAACTCTTTGGATTGACACTCGACGGTGTACTCAAATTCGGATAGAGTCGCCTTCATGGTGTTACTCCCTTTAGCCAGAGAAAGGGCCTCTTGGCGGAAGTGGGACACACTGAAACAGATAAAACGATGATTTACTGTAACTTTAATGACCTCATCAGGGTACTGTTAATTCAAACACTTAAGATTTTAGATTGTAAATCACAAGTTCACCCGCTAATAATAAAGAACACCATGTGGATTAAGATAGATTTATGCTTATTCATCAAACTGTTTCTGCTTATGATATATTAACAGCTGATTGTCAAATACAGCACTAGAACACGAGGTGATTATGCAGTACTTTATAAAGTCATGCTGTTCCTTCAGTGTGCTAAAAGTAACATATTAACACTTTTCTATTGACTGTGTGATGTAGATGATTGGATTTATTTTTTGACTATCCATGTTATAAATGTATTATCTTTTTAATTACCACACACAACCCCTATTGCAAGTCTGTCCATACTGGGAGAGGGATCCCTTCTCTGTTGCTCTCCCCGAGGTTTCCTCCATTTTTTGGGGGTTTCTTTGACAAGTTAAACTTGTCCAATGTTAGGGTCTATAGACAGAGGGTTTCGTATTCTGTGCAAACTGTAAAGCTCCCTGAGATCAATTTAACATTTTGGATATTGGGCTCTATAAATAAACTTTGATTGATTGATTGAATATATGGATCACAACATATTCTTTAAATTTAGCATTTCTTCAACTTGCCCCATGACGTCTCACAGGTTGATAGGTATTGCAAAAGTAATTAATTTCATTATTGGGTATTGAATATTATGGAAAATCAAGGCTGTTGTCACTTAAGAAAATGCTATGGAAAAATGCAATAAATTCCCCAAACCACTTTCATACTGGGCTTTAAGGTGACTCAACAAACTGCACCCAAGGATTATTTATCTCTAAGTATTATACTCAGTTTTATTAACAGGGAGTTTACACTGATGTTGTTTTAAACTTGAAATTACCGTGACTGCCAGTACTGCAGTTCAGCCTCTTTCAGATACAGAACGGTGGTCAGGTCAGAGACGGTCTGAGAGAGCTGTGAGGAAAAGAAGCAACAACAAAAAAATGATGTTATTGTCATTTTAAAAGTTAAAAGGCAATAGTATATTTTCTGATTAGTACTGTAGCTGCATGTCTGAGGCTTAGAACACATTCTTGTGCAACTATGCCTGCTTATTGAACTGATTTTGGGGGCTGATAATAATATGTTAGTCCTTGGATTTCTCCTCATTGAACCTACCTTTTCTGCCAGGTGTTCACTCTCCCTCAGTTGGAGTTGAAGGAGTCTGGTGTCTTTCCCAACTTCACGTCCACCTCGGTCTAAACTGCAAAGACAAACCGGTGTGAAGAAATATATAAACAAATACATAAACAAGCTTTGGGTATCCAAATCGCCACAATGGAGGAATGTAAATGTAGTTAAATGCTACATTTCTAACCTCTTAGATTGAACATCATCCAAACATGTTTTGCGAAAATCAAACCGTTCCTCCATCCGAGACACTGAAAGACAGAATACACATGTCCTCAGGCTAAGACACTGGGAACATACTGCAAAAGCTAATAGAGGACATATTAAACTCACAGCTCGTGAACACACCGATGAAAGGCAGCTTCTCAGTTTGGTCTCTCTGTTGCAGTTCACCACGCACGTGATTCTTCCAGCTTCTCATTGTGATTGAAACGAATTTGTCAATCCCCAAAACGTCAACAGGTATAATACGTTTTTGATATCCCACTTTATTTGGGTCAAAGACGATATTATTGTCAAAACGTAGCCGAAAACACAGGAATGAACTGCCTGAAAAAAGGAACAGCTCCTCCCAGTTCAGTCAGCTGCTTCACATCCCCCCGGCTATAACCTTTGACCTGCAGGGAACATGTCTCCTGCATACACTTTATCAAAAAACGTTACTATACTCTAATCTTATATATGATCCCATACATATAACAGGAGTAGTCTATTTGTGGAAGTTATTTTACTTTTTGAATGTAACTATAAAACATGTATATATATTTATAATCATTATAATAACAGTAATACAAAAATAATAATAATAATAATATATTGTTTACATTTTCCCAAATATTATTTTATTTTTAAATAATAATTAAAAAAAGCCTTGATTTTAAATGGCACAATACAATCGTTTTTGATACCTTTTGGCTAAAAGACATAACATAATAACACAAAACACGGGACCGATTAAAAAGAAATTGAAGCCGTTTGGTGTTCAATAGACTTTCAGAATAAAGCACAACAGAATGTGCTCAACTCTTCTAGAAAGACGCTCTGAAAGCACTTCCGGTTCAATTTTTTAAAAACATGTCGCATTTACTTGAGTATTTTCCTTAAAATAAGGATATAATCTACTTTTCAACCTCAGAAAATATTCTACTTAAAAAACGAAATCATTTTGATGGTCGATATAAGAAATAAGACGTGTTTTGTAGTTTGTCTCTTGGTCAAACCGGAAGTTGTTGCTGCTGGCATTAACGTGTGCTCTGACAACAACAGACAGACTGTCCGGCTGAAATAGGAGAAGCTGCAGGCTTATTTCTCTAGTTTAGACAGGGTTGAAAACATTAGATATAACAAAGAAACAACAGCGTCCCATGTGAGTGTAATTTAGCTTTTATTCTGTACAAATTCAAGAGTCAGCGCTGATATTTCCAGCAGCTAACCTGTCAAGCTAGCAAACTAGATACAACTTTATTGAGACATTTGATCTTGCTGGTAATACTGCGTAGATTTATCATGAGTTGTCCACCCATGGATAGGTTTTCTGATTGTTAAAGCAGATTGTCAGTGTGTGCTGGGGTGAACTGTGTGTCCAGTATGAGTGCACCAGCTGGGGACAGAGAGATCCCACTGGACAATGCAAAGGAAGAGATCAGTGGCCCTGTCTGCACAGGAGAGAGCAGCAGACCTGTGAGTAACCATCGACTAGAAAGATGTATAAATAAAGATCAAATTCGGAAATCCAGCCCGAGTAACTCACTACATATATGATCAGCGGTGTAAAGTAACTAAGTAGATTAAATACAAATGTGAGGGACTTGTACTTTACTTGAGTATTTCAATGTTTTGCTACTTTGTACTTCTACTGCATTACAATTAAGAGGTACATCGTGTACTTTTACTCCACTGCATCTATTTAATACATTTAGGAACTTTGTAGATTTGGTTTCATAATGTGAAATATAATCAACACATAAATAAGACTTTAGTTACACCTTGAGTAACATTCACACGCTATCCTGCAGTATACAAAGTCATTAAAACTAGCTGCACCTTTACCAGCTTGATAACAATTAAATGCGTCAATAATTATAATCAAAACATATAATATATATTATTCTGAAATGGGTCAATCTGCATAATGACTGCTTTTACTTTTTGTACTTCAAGTATATATTGATGCCAATACATTTGTACTTTTAAAAGAAACATTTTGAATGCAGGACTTTTACTTGTAACAGAGTATTCCTACACTTGTGTACTTCTAGATCTGAGTACTTCTCCCACCTCTGGATATTATGTTTTACTTTGTGTTCCTGCAGGACTCCGCAGTGTGTGCAGGCAGCAGTGAGATAAAGAGCCGAGCGGTGGTGAAGTACTGCGCCGCCCCCCCCCCCACCAGCTATGCCCTGCTGCAGGAGCAGACGGACCTGAAGCTGCCCCCTGCCAACTGGCTCAGAGAAAACCCCCAGCTGGGCAGCGCGGGCACCACCATCCTGGGCTCCAGCAGCAAGAGCAAGCCTTTTTCCAGGTATAATATCATCTGAAATATTTTATTACCATTGTTGAATGTTCTAATAGAAACTGTGCTGGCCTCTGTAGATTCTTTGCTTTATTTAGGAAGGACACTGTCCAAAGAATGGTTTTAACAAGTAAGCCTGGCCCATAGTGGTTGGTCAAAACATACAACTGTGAATTCATCGTTCACGGTATTGATGCCATCTTTAATGATTTCTATGACCAAAACAAACTCAATTGTTTCTCACAGACATACAGTACCTGCAAATTGTGGATTTACAGCATACTGTAATGTTAAAAACTCTTGTGTGTATCGTCAGGGTTCAGTGACATTTATCTAGGCTTTAAATGTCATCAAATGTTGTGTTTCATAAATAAAAATAAAGGACAGTTTTTGCGAGGACCGTTTGTGAATATGTTATTCTAGGTAGAGATAGAGATAGAGAAGATACAAGTACATTTTTATTGTCTTGGATAACTGTGTAAACCAGCCGGGCAGATGGCCTCTGTTGTTGGTCTGAATGCTCTCATGAAGACAGATTAAAAACCACTGTTCATCCATTTTAGGTCCAGTTTACAATGGGGTAAATCGTTAACAACCCTTATCCACATTCACAAAAACTCTGTAATGATCATATTTATTTCCTTCTTTTGTAGTTTTGGGATGGCTTATGAATTCATCGATTGCATTGGGGACGATGTCGACGTGGTTTCAGACTCAGAGGTTTGTAGAGCTGTCGCAAAGCTGGTAGATTAAATTCTGAACCATGGCATGCTCTCACACCTTGTGTCAACATGGTTCTCTTTAATTTTCAGAACATCAAGAAGCTTTTGAAAATTCCCTACAGCAAGTCCCACGTCAGCATGGCCGTTCACCGCGTGGGGAGGACGTTGCTTTTGGACGACCTGGACATTCAAGAGCTCTTCATGAAATCCTCTCAGGTACAGCAGGGACTGGTTTACAACTTTTTAAATAGTTATCAGAATCAGAATAACTTTATTCGTCCCACAAAGGGACATTTTGTATTTGTTACAGCAAGAAAAGAGCCAAAGAAAGCCTAATATTACCCAAAAAGCATGCATACAAAAATAGTTTTTTTTTAAAAGATAAAGAAAATTACACAATTTACAAAATACACATCCTGTAACAGTTCTGAGATGTAGCAGCCAGGTATATATATTGCACAATTATTAACGGCATATATATATTACACATAATTGGTATTGCACAACAAGGGGACAATACTTATGACTAGGGATGTCCCGATCACCTTTTTTTGCTCCCGATCCGATTCCGATCATTTGATTTTGACAATTTGCCGATACCGATTTTTCCCGATCCGATCTTTATGCAATGCATTTAAAGAAAAAAGCATTCAAGTTGTCCCTTAAGGTTATTTTTTTAATTTAAATTGGATATTCTATCCAACATGGATATAGCTTCTTTCTTTCACAGCAGCATTGGATCAGTTCAGTTGTGCAGCATTGGATCAAAACAAAATAAAGCTTATCAGTACTCGTTAGCTTACTGCTACAATTAGACACTGCGCCCTGCCCACTCTGTTGCCAGATTTGAGAGAAATAAGCAACCAGGTCTATGAAAACAAGCCCCAAAGAAGCAACACATACATGATGTTGTGTAATTTGAAACCAAAACTAAGGCCTCAGGATGACTTTAAGACTTGAACATGGTCATTTTTGTTTTGTAACATTGAATACAAAATTTAAAAAAAAAGTATTTAAAAAAAAAGAAAAAAAAAAAAGATCCCGATCCCCGATTTTTTCCTCCCGATTCCGATCTTTTGAAAATCACGTGATCGTCCCCGATCACGTGATCGGATGGGGACATCTCTACTTATGACTGTATCTTTTGTGGTATAATTGATTGTATTCGCTCTCCTATATTTGTGTTGTATGTAGACTGGGGATTGGACGTGGCTGAAAGAGTTTTACCAGCGGCTAATAGATCAGAAGTGGCAGAGGAAGAAGAAGAGTAAGGAGCACTGGTATCAGAAAGCTATCCTGTCAAAGTTCCTCTACTACAGGTGGGTTCTTGGCGTTACTTGAATTATAAGCGAAAAAAGGAGAATATATCACGGGAGTCAGGTTGCATGTCTTCTTCATTCATCTTTCTCAGTCCCTATCTGATAACATCTGCTGTGTCCCTCCAGTATAAATGGTGATGGGGCTGCAGAGCCTGTCCCAGTCAACCCTGACGGAGAGGAGAAGGAGAGCGAGGCGGAGGAGTTCAGTTCCTCCTGGCCCACCGCCTTCACCAGCACCGCGTCTGACACTGAAGAGTCAGATGCTCCCAAGCAGGTAAAGTACAGTCGCTGTTTGACATCTACCTTTGAGTAAACAACGAGGCCAAGTCACTTTAGAAATCATGTGTATTTCTTGGAGAATCAATCGTGTGTGCCTTTCAAAACCTTCAGTACTTAATGAGATGAAATGTATAAGAAGTGTTTTAAGATTCGATTGGCTCCTGGTAGACCACGAAGCATGTGTTTGTAAGGAGTTTTGGTTTGCACTGCGTTAACTGGCTTTCTTTCCAAAGGTGCAGGAAAGTTTTTCTATGGACAGCATGTTTGCTCTGGACCAGGTGACGTCGGCACCCAAAGAGCAGCACCTCGCCATGCTCTTCAACGAGGGGGAGAACAGTCAGGTAAAACAACGTTCTTTATTGTATTTACTTCTACGGTATTGGTACCTCATGTCTAATTTCAGCATACACCTTTTCCCTTGTTCGACAGGGTTTGAGAAACGACTTTGTGCGAAACATCATGTGGACGTTTGAGGATATCCACATGTTGGTTGGGTCCAACATGCCTATTTTCGGAGGGGGTCGCTATCCCGCCGTCAGTCTGAGACTCAGGTTGGTTTGCTCCCATTAGGATTTAAAATGTGAACTAATTTAGAGAAGACCTGATTATGTAATCCTTCTAATTATATTGCATGTCTGTTGCCTTCTGTTGGGGTTAGATAAGATAAGAGGTACTTTATTGATCCCAATTTGGGAAATGTTTGCGTTGCAGCACCATCAAAATGGATGCATGTGTCAGCAGCATAATGCAGATTGCTAATAGTCTGTAATTTAAGTTTTCTGACCTTTTTCCAAGGGGAGCCAGACATGTAATGGATGCTGTAACCTCATCAGAAGTAGACTGGTTGCTTCCACATCATTTTGCTTAATCTAAATGTTAGGGATTAATTTTGTCTTACTCCTAGGAGTCTAACCTTTTCTGTGTGTTGATGTTTACGACCAACCCTAAGTCTGTTATCTGTCTTAAGGAATGGGAAGTCTCAGCTATTGTTGACATTACCACCTATCGGTCACAGAGGGTTTTAGGACTGTGAGAACACTGGCTAATGTCAACAATAGCTGAGACTTCCCATTCCTTAAGACAGATAACAGACTTAGGNTCGATACCCGTCAGGATGTTGATCGGTTTGTTGTTGTCCCTGAGAAACAGTGAGAACGTTTTAGACGTTAGTGTAAGGGAAACTTCTGCAGCAATGGAGAGTCAGGACTCAGAGAGACACGAGGAGAGTTGGAGCTTCGATGTCAAACACTGAATGTTTATTTACAAGTATCGGCCGGAGAAATTCTCATCACAAGTCACACAGCCAGAGATTCTGACTGCCCTGGTGGGTTGCCAAGTCAAATCTGACCAGCCTCTCTCTCGAGTAGACCTTTTAACTAGTTTACAGAGAGTTAATCCACATATTGGGGGATGGTGCGTAAACACCTGGGAACACTGGACCAGTGTTCCCAGGTGTTTACGCACCATCCCCCAATATGTGGATTAACTCTCTGTAAACTAGTTAAAAGGTCTACTCGAGAGAGAGGCTGGTCAGATTTNTAAAAAAGTTGAATTTAAATATTAAAACAGCAACACAACATTATTCACACACGAGAAGCCAGTCTGAAGAGGTGTGTTGGTCAGTGCGGTCTCTGATGTGTTGTGGGAGTGAGCTCCCGAGTGTGGGGGCAGCGATGGAGAAGGCCGTGTTCGGTTTATTGCATCACTTCATGTTAAATAACCTCACCGTAACACTGCAGGGAAAGCTTGATGTAGCGCAGAGCTCGCCCGTACTTCTGCAGCTTGGTGGCAGCATCCGACAGGACGTAGTACGCTTTGGAGGCTTTGAGGAAGAGCTGCAGCTTCATGCGGTGCTGCCAGGAGCCGGGGATCATCCCGGAGCGCGTCGGGAGCTTCTGGTCCGCCTGCCACGCCATCGCTGGGGACAGGAGGGAGACACATAGAGAGGGTGGGGGGGAGGGAGAATGTCCTGGTAATGCTTGTATGTTGCCTTTTTTCTAATGTGGTGTTATATCTTTGAAATAAGGGCTGGAGACTGACCTCTCTCAAGAAGAAGAGAGAGGCCTTGCTCGGCAGCACAGGCTCCGATTGCATTTCTGTCCTCGTATTTAAGAGGAATGGGCGTGTTGGGGTCTGCAGCGGGAAGATCGCTCTCCTTCTTGATGGTGACATCCACCGCCTTCAGCCCCTGCGTATTCCAATAGAGCGATTATTAACACAGCGGATGACATATCTCCTGGGACACTTTATTAGCTTTGTATGTCTTTTAAAAAACAAATATGCAGAGACTCGCCTTTAGCACGCAGCTCAGGACATGTCTGCATTTCTCCTCCTTGTCTAGAGAAACAGGGAAAACACTGCTTGGCTGCGGGGGGGAAAAGAAAGAAAGGTTATTCTCTGGTGTTTACATACAACATCTTCATCTGTGTATTCCACACTGTCCCCTCAGGTCTTCAGAGAGTGACTGACCCTGATCTGGTGAGTGGATTTGTATTTCTCGGGGACGGACAGCTCCACCACGGAGCGGATCACAGCCACAGCCTTGCTGTCGTCCTGCGGGCTGCAGCAGGAGCGGTAGGACACGTTCTCGTCACTGTCCTCCGTCAGCTCCTCCTCTTCCTCTCTGTCTTCGTCGCTGTAGCTGTCCTCTGAGCCGCCGGCCCGAATCGACTCCTCTCCATCTTCCTCCGGAGGCTCGTCCAGCTGGAACAGCTCTGACAGCATGTAGTGAGCCGAGGCGATGATCTGGAGGGGGGTGGGGGGTTCAGGGGGGGAGTCAGGTTCAATCAAATCTACACTAAGGCACTTTTTACTTTCCCGCTGTTGAAATATAGATTCAACATACTGAACTTATTTAATCAGGAACTCATTTGGAACTAAAACAGTCTCCATGTGACTTTTCTACCCATCTATCACTTAATCATGGCATCTAATCATTTGAATGCAGCGCCAGGGTTTGATTGCAGTCCTTGTGTTTTCTCCTAATTTGATTTTGTCGATTGTAACTTTGATATGAAGGTGGATCTTACCTGTGGGTGCCTCTCCTCATCCAGCAGTTTGACGCAGTTCAGGAGCAGAGTTCTGATTGTGCCGTAGTGCTTTCTGTTTTGACTCGCCTTCAGCATCATGTTACTGGCAACTCTACAAAACAAACCAGAGAATAGACAAGAACTCACTACAGTTAAGATAATTGTATTTGATTAAAACATAACTCACTTATAAACAGCCAATTCAACCAAATACTGTTAACTTGCAAATATCACATTTGAGGTAAAATAACAAATTCATTTTCCATGACATGTCATAAGCTAATTTTGAATAGGAAGACATTGTTCCAAATCCAGCCATGCAGTCTTATCCTGAGACTCACCGGTATAAAAGCACAGCCACAGGAAGAGTGAAGGGATTCTGACATTTCTCTTCTTCCGCCTCCTCACACAGAGTAGTAAGATCATAAAGCTTCACAATGTCACTCCCACTGGCTGCGGATTCAAGAAGTGACATTAATAAACCTCGAGTTAGAAAAGTGCGGAGTACAAGTACAGAGTTAATCCAAAATCGCCCTGTTCCTACCTTTGAACAGCCAGTAGGTGTGACCCTCTTTGGTGCAGTTGGACTTCAGGAAGGAGAGGATGTTTTGGGCGATGTCTTTCACCACCCTCGTGGAGAAGGTCGAGTTCTCCAGATGAGGGATGTCCTCGGTTTTTATCATCTCGTATTTCTGTGTTAACATTTTTTATTTCAATTTGTTTAGATTAGATTCATCTTTATTGCAAAGGCACAGAATACAACAGAATGCAGTTTGCATCAAATCAGAAAGTACAAAGAGTAGATACAGAGCAGATTAAGTTTCATTATTGATGACATTTTTCAATTAAGAGCTCAAATTAATTTAAAAAAAGAATTGGACTGCTATGATCAAACAGATATTTATACCTCATTATAATCAAATACTGGAGCGTTATTTACCTGTACAATGCCGTTGACGTGAAAGCACATGACGAGCTCGGGGACATTACACATCAGATTGTCGAGCCAGTAGTCGATACCCGTCAGGATGTTGATCGGTTTGTTGTTGTCCCTGAGAAACAGTGAGAACGTTTTAGACGTTAGTGCAGGGGTGGGGAACCTATTTCCTCTCAAGGGCCATTTCAATTTTTTCAACATCCTCCGAGGGCCGTACAAATGATTGACCTCTTCTTAAAAATACTAAAATCACAGCCCATTCATTTGGCCTTTCTTTCATGCTGTGCAAAGAAAAAGCAACCTCTTAATCCAGATATCTAACCATGACTCGCGCATGCATGCACGTGCACGGTGTGGCATGACCACCAAAACAGAAAGATATGGACACAAGATGTGTGCAAATGTATTTAGTATCCATGTGAACATGATTTGAGTGGGGGGGGACCGTCGACCTCCTCTAGGGGGGTCCTCGACCTCCTCTAGGGGG